CCAGTGAAGCAGCACGAACAATCCTTCCTTTGCCTGCAAAAAATTCTAGCACCTGAACGGGCTGCTGCGGGTCCCAAGGCAGCTCAACACGGCTCATCCAAGATGCCATGATAACCAAAAAGATGAAGTCCTCAGTTTTAGTGGTGGACAAGACGGGTTGGTGATATTCACCTAGGGCTGCACAATACATTCGAACAAGCTTCAGCAGGCACACCCAACGTGCACATCCTTCGACATGCTAAATCCACATCCTTGTAGCTCAATTTCATGCCGCTCTCCCCAGGTCACCACTTGTCAAACAGGGCGCTGTGAGCCACAACAGCTCATTGATAGTTCCACCCTCTTCTGACAAGGGGTTGATAGCGTTCGATGAAGCACTCTAATCAATGGATCTTCAATCAGGAAAAATTGAGTGCAAACAAGCCAGGCTGTCCAGCCACTTGGACTCCAAACTTTGCCAAACACAACTGGCCACGGCGAAGAAGTGGCATTAATCCTGCCAGGAGAGGATAGAAGGAAAAGACCCGGAGGAGAGAAAGGGGCAGTCCTCCTGGAGCCAATGCTGACCACCTGGCAATTTGCATGAGTCCAAGTGATGGTTCCGTTTCACAGGACATCGATCTCACTGCTTCTTTCTTCGCTGCTTTCACCAATGCTCCAATCACTGATGACCTACAGTATCTAATCCAAAATGCGGATGCCCCTGGCCAGCCTTATGTAACACAAAACAACTCTTTTGGAAACCTTGACAGGTCATGACAGTCATGACCTTGTTGGAATAGAGTGCTAGCCTCTACGGGGAATCGACGCTGGAACTCACAATTGCTAAGGCTGCTAGACCAAAATGCCGGGATAGTCCCTGTGTAGAATCCCTTTCATGCTTAAAAGCATGGCCCCTGCACACAGGTTCCCTCAAGATCAGGCGCCAGACGGTGGACAAACTCCACTGATCACTTCCGTGCAGCACCTGTGGGAGGATGTCAGGAAACACATTTGTTGCCATAACCAGGCCATGACAAACCCAAACCTTTTGGGAAAACAATCCAAGGCATGCACACTTGGCAAAACCTATTCAGCAATGCCAAGAAACTGACATTCTCCTTCTGCAAGAACAGGCTGACCTGCTTCTCCGCAATCAGGCGCATCTCCTCATCGGTAGTCACTTCACCTTCAGCAAAAGCCGCACCGCATTGCTTAAAGAATGCATCCTGCACAAGATTTGCAAACATTGATGGATGATGGATTTGATGGATCTAAAGTTAAATCACTTTTAAACTTTGGACATTGCAATTGCTCCTGAAAGGCACTTTGCCGTCGAAGGAGCGGAGCAAGCCTCTCCTCAAACACATGCTTGATGGCATTGAACCGCATTGCCGGCAATGAAGCCTCAGGACAGTATCGCCCAGCGAAGGTCTGCGTTGGTCCCTTGACCTTCTTTGACTCCTCCACTTCCAGCTGCTTGCCCCTGCGCTTCTTGCCACCAATCTCCTGCGCAGGAACTGCCGAAACGCCGGTCTCCTGCACAGAAGGCTCATTCCGCTGCCGCTTGGGCTTGGAAGCATTCGCTTCTTCAGCAGGTTGGTCATTCTTGTCGGCTGCCTTATTTGGCCGCTCTTCCTCCTTGGCAGCCTTTCGCTTGGACTTCGACTTGGCCTCAGCCTTGGCTTTGGCCTTTGATTTTGCTGTGGCCTTGGCCTTGGCCTTGGCTGCCCTGGCCTTCGGTACTTTGGCCTTTGATGCTTTCTGTTCATGTGGCTGATCTTCTTCGTCAGAATTCCGATCACCCAGGTCTTTCTCCTCCTCAGCTTCCTCTTCCTCATCGCCAGCCGCCTTGCGGAAGTTGGCGTTCAACTGCTCACGACGCAGCAAGAGTGGAACCTACAGGGAGACTGGTGCCACAAAAACAATACCCCATTGGGACAAAAGATCACAAATCACAAAATCAATTTCTTTCAAGAAAGGAAGAGCCTTGGCATTCATCAGCTGGGCAACATCGATATCAACTGAGCGAGGATCCTGCACATTGCCCACGGGCTTTGAAGGCAGTGGCTGCTCCGGCACATTGCCCACAGGCTCTGAAGGTACAGGCTGCTCC